TGAAACGCCGCGGCATTTTTCGCGTTTTTTCACGCGAAGCTGGTGTGTTTTCGTGTTTTTTTAACGGGAATTTGCCCGGTTAGTCAATCAGACGAGGATTTTTTTATTCGTAATGTTGGAGAATTGAGAAAAGGTAGAAAGAAGGTGTGTGTGAAGGTACTCACCTCGTTTCTGCATGTAGCTGAAGAGGTCGTCGAGGAATTCCTTTCTTTTCGGGTCGTCGTTGATCTCGTACAGCTAGAAGAATCGAAGGAACGGCGGTGAGATATCGCGATGGAGTAGTGGAGCGTTTTATCCGAGAAACGGAGAGAAAGAAAACAGAATATTCATAAAATGTTACTTTTGTACAGAAAGTACTGTGACTTATGGATAATTTTTAATCGAAGGAACTCGATCAAAAATAATTTTCGATCAAAGGAACTCGATCAAAAATAATTTTGAATCGAAGGAACTCAAAATCGAAGGAAGTCGATAAAAATAATTTTCGATCAAAGGAACTCAAAATCAAAGGAACTCGATCAAAAATAATTTTCGATCAAAGGAACTCGATCAAAAATAATTTTCGATCAAAGGAACTCGATCAAAAATAATTTTGAATCGAAGGAACTCAAAATCGAAGGAAGTCGATAAAAATAATTTTCAATCGAAGGAACTCAAAATCAAAGGAACTCGATCAAAAATAATTTTCGGTCAAAGGAACTCGATCAAAAATAATTTTCAATCAAAGGAACTCCAAATCGAAAGAACTTGATCAAAAATAATTTTCAATCAAAGGAACAACGATAAGATATCGCGATAGAGAGTAGTAGATCATTTAATCGAAGAAACCGAGAGAAAAATAATTACAAGTATTACATTATTTAAATTACATTTGTTCGCCAAAGTTAGTATCACTTATCACTAAAAATATACAAGGTATTCATGCTATTAGTTTCCAGCGTTTTTCTCCCAAGCAATAGATTTGTGAGAAAAACAGAAGACAAGGTTTCATTATTTTTTATACACAATAGGATAGCCTCAACAGACCCTTTAAATTTGCGACGATTATCGCATAAAGACGATATCACGAATTTTTTAAAATCGATAACTATAATTTCTTTTATCAACGACCCGCAACAAACTCAATTTCGTGTCTTATTTTAATCAGGATCTTACGAGATTAGATCCTTATGAGATTAGCAGATTAGGATCGTATTTTTAAACGGAAATAGATGTTCAAGAGATTTATCGTACGTAAAGTAAAGTGTCTCTAATATCGCCCAACTGTAATATTAAAAAAAAAAGTGTTGGCAAAAATCAGCAACGGACTGAAATTCTAATAGAACATACACTACCGGCCAAATGTCCGGGATCACTGTGCATTGCAAGTTGCACAAAAATTCCCCCAAAAAAGTTAGCATTTATAATCATTTCCCAACGAATTTTCTATCATTCAAATCAATCGAAACGAGGTAAAGTGCTATTGACCTCCACAACGTCAATTTCAAATCAATAAAGAATTAGTAGCAGATTCAATGTTAACATAAATTGGCAGGCGATTCCAAATTTTCGGCCGGTAGTGTGTATATAAAGAGACTTTTTCTTATCGACAGCATCATCGCAGCAATGTTTCACCCAATAGACACATCGCGACAAATTTCTGCGATAAATATTCCATATTTAATCATTTCCTTCTAGCGACGACAGTTCAGATTTTCTTCACGTTCAACAAGTGTCCCGATACTTGATACCGAGCACCTAAGGTAGAAGTATCTCTCGCTCCTCCTCTCTGTTACAGGACGAATAAAATGTTATTTCGGGGCCAGGCTAATAAAAACAGGAGTGAAACAAGTGTGCTCATAGCGACAGGCAGATTAGTTAGCTCCGATTATTAATGATTCCGTTTAACCTGGCTCATAACCCGAAACCCCCTCGACCGAGGCAAAAGCCAAACTCCCTTCAGGCTAGCGGCCCCGTATTATCATATTTGTTATGTACGATGTGCTACATCTAATCCGTGGCCCTCTAATTGCTTTTATAATACCAGCTTCTCCCTCCCACTTTCACCTCTTTCTTACCTACGCCACCTTTTTCATCCTCCTCTCGAACATCTCCAACCTTACGTTTCCAACTTTCTCCTCACCTTAAAACTCTTACTTCAACGGCGAACAGCGTCGACTGTATCAACGGTCCAGAGATCAAGACAAACGATCGTTTAATAGCGTCTGGTCCTCGAATAGTTACCTTACGGATCATCGTCTAGGTAACCACGATTTATGAACAGAGGTAACGTTCAAGTTTTGTTGTTGTTGGCAAGAGTGCACAGCTTTAGCGCGTCTTTCGAACCTTGTTGGTTGACTCGTAGATCTGGCTGGACGATAAATTTCATCGAAGGAAACGCGGGCTGCCTTCTCCCGCGTCAGAGGTGAACGACAATTAATTCGCCGCGCTCGTCCTGTCTAATAGTTCAACGTGTCGGTTCAGATCGAGGAGAGACACAAAGCGTACCAACGGAGGATTTATTGCACGTTTCCTTTGCGATCCGTTTCTGACGTTCCACTGACACGTGTCTACGACTACGTTGCGTCACAGGTGTTTTTTTCTGCTGGCTGGGAGTACGATGAGCAATTAATAGCTGTTTCATTAGAATACTCGTGATGCTGATTGAAATCTCCGTGGCCTTTTTTTGTGATACAAAGTTCGATCTGCACGTCGCGTGAAGATGTGACGTACAGTGATAAGCGTTAGGACACTTGTTACGCTCGTGCAGATGGTGTTGGGTGATCTCGTAGGTTCGTGGCGAAACAGAAAAATATTTTAACGGAAAACGGAGGAACAAATTTCCTAAAGAATCCTTCGAAAAGAAATGCCACCGAAAAAAGTGTAGAACGAAAAGGCGTTGATGTATTTTTTTATGAAATTTGAACGTTTGTCGGAAATATTGATCGAAATTATAAAATTCGACAGGAACTTATGGGATGACCTAATATTATTAACTTTCATTTCTTTGCAAAAGTTAAAAGTTCGTGGCGACAGAGAAAGATATTTTAACGGAAAACTGAAGAAAAAGTTTCCTAAAAAATCCTATTTCGAAAAAAGAAATCGCACCAAAAAAATTGTGGAACGAAAAGGAGTTTATGTACTTTTTTATGAAATTTGAAGGTTTGTACTAATGAAGGATGACATAATATTATTAACTTTCATTTCTTTGCCAAAGACAATTTTGTAATAATCTTCGTGCGTCTAAATCGATATCTTTATCATCCGAACGAGGTAAATTTCGATTTTTCGAGAGCAAAGTAGAGGAGATTTCAAGTTTGTTATACTTCGCTGTTCTCAGTATCAAACTTGGCGTTTATCGAGAAGAATTCAACGAGGTGCGCCTACGTGAAAGCTCGCGTATCGATCGTTGTAATTGTCAATGGCAGAATGGTAAATCAGGCTTTTGCAGCGAAACCGTAGACAGAAGTGACAGGGAAATGTGATCGGCAATGATAGGAAGGTTCTCTTGTGCGAGAGTACAGGTGCTTCCGGTTGCATCGTCTATTATACCACGTTTCCCAAGGACGCTGACAGGTGCTTTGCGATCGGTTACGCCTACAATACGAGCTGATCTTTCGACTTGCTATCTCGCGATCTGGTCGGAAACAATGCTACTATGGGATTCTTAACACGTTGTTAATGAACAGAATAGATGTGCAATTTTACACGACGGTTTATGCGTAAGGTCGTCGAGAAAAAATTGGAGAAGACGGTAGAGCGTTCGGATAATTATATTTTTCGGGAATTTTGTCAGACGATTTTTTTCTGATCAGACGAAGAACACGGATTAAGAGAATTAAATTATTTATATTCTATTTTTTATATATTTGCACATTACCGCTGAAAAGTTTAATCGCACTACGGGACAAAATTAATTGGTAAATAAACGTTGAATTCGATGTAACGCTTTAAATTTGATAAATGGAATTGGAATTTTGTAGACTTGAATGAAATGGATTGGAATGAACTGAATTACATCGCACTTTTATATGTATTTTATGTCTGTCGATAAATTAAGTTACTGTATTAATTATGGCCACTTTTCAAATTATTATTCTCGTATTGACCGCATTGCATAGATACAGTCGAACAGTTCGGCATATTTTATAATCCAGCACAGTCGAAATCCCGAGTGTGCCGAATTATGGGAATTATTGTATCAATTATGGCCCTTTTTTAAATTATTATTCTCGTATTGACCGCATTGCATAGATACAGTCGAACAGTTCGGCATATTTTATAATCCAGCACAGTCGAAATCCCGAGTGTGCCGAATTATGGGAATTATTGTATCAATTATGGCCACTTTTTAAATTATTATTCTCGTATTGACCGCATTGCATAGATACAGTCGAACAGTTCGGCATATTTTACAATCCAGCACAGTCGAAATCCCGAGTGTGCCGAATTATCGGAATTATTGCATCAATTATGACCGTTTTTCAAATTATTGCTCTGATTTTTACCGCATTACAGATATACAATCCAACAATCCAGCACAGTGAATGTCTGAAGCGTGCCGAATTATCGGAATTGTACCGTAGTTGGTTCACCGAAATGGCGATCTATCGCGGCCCATTTATTCATACACTGCCGGTTCAGTGTTCATGGCAACGCCCTAGCTCGATCTCCATCCACCCTTGCAGCCGCGTCGAAACGAGCGAGCGACTGGACAAACGAACGAACGAACTGAACGAACGAACGGATGGATGGACGGACGGACGGCATTTCTCAAGGGCCATTTTGTACCACTTTCTCGTGTTTTTTCTTTGGCTACACGAGCGATGAGCTCGTTAGGGGCAGCCGGAGGGAGAGGACGGGGTAAAAGGTCGGAGAAAGAGGAACGAACCGGCTAACACCGTGGTGAAACAGAGAGGAAAAGATAGTACGAGGGTTCAACCAGCGTATATTGATTGATCTACAGTTAAGCGGACTGACGGCAGCCACGTGAAGATCGGGTAGAACAGGCTCTCTCCTCTCTAAACCCTACCTCTTTCTCTTCCTCCTACATTTCCATCTGTCTATCCTTCTTCGCCCGTATCTTTTCCCCTATCCTTCACTACCGTAAAATAAAGAGAGGCGAACGGAATTTGCTCTCGATGATGCATGCTTCGCGGCCCCGCCCTCTCCTTCTCATCGACTGACGGCTCGGTGAATAATAATTCCTGATACAGCCGACGTTGATCGGGTTACTTTCGTCCCTATGAGCGGCCGAG